GCACCAGGGCCTAGAGTCAGGAATAATCAAGTTCAAATGTGACCTCCGACACTTACTATCTGTGTGACCCCGGGAAAGTCACTTCACCCTGTTTGCCTCAGTTTCCTCACCTGTAAAATAAGCTGGAGAAGGAAATGGCAAACCTCTCCAGTATCTTTGCCAAGAAAACCCCAAATGGGGTCACAAAAAGTCAGACAAGACTGAAAGGACTGAACAACCACACGTTTAGGGAAATCAACGAAGGTCTGTCTAACTGGGCTTGCTCCTCCCAGATTAGGCTGCTTGGCCATGAGCCAATTACTATAAGGATGGGCCAGGCAGTTTGCTCAGCCACCAAGACTTCTCTCAGATGGGCAACTGCAAATCTTCTCCTTCAACCACTAGCTTGGCTCTCTTCAGCTATACCAGGAGCTCTTAACCTTTTCTGTGATGTGAACCTCTTTGGAAATCTGGTGAAACCTATGGAGCCCTTTTCAGAATAATGCTTTTAAGTATATAAAATATGTGGTATTACAAAGGAAACCAATTGCTTTGAAATTATAAAAAAAAATTATAAAAAAAAAATTTCAACAAAGTTCAAGGACCTTGGGTTAAGAACCCTGACCTAAAGTATTAGCATGTTGTATTTTATCTTATTTTATATTTCTGCTGGAATACCACAGAGCTCTTAGGCTAAGATCATATAAGACTCTTCTTTTTGATTCCCCCAGAGCCTCAGTTTGTCACCTCCAGAAGCAGAGGATAGAGTACCAGGCCTGGAGTCAGGAATACTTGAGTTCAAATGTGCCTCAGTTTCTTCATCTGTAAAATGAGGATGGTAACAACCATGTCCAAGGATTGTTGTGAGTATAAAATGAGATGTTTATAAAATGTTTTGCAAACCTGAAAGCTTTATATAAATGCTAGCTATTATTATTCTACCTACTATTATTATACTATCAATAGTAATTAAAATGCCAGGAATAGCAATTAAATAGTAGTTATTATTTATTATTGTTGTTGTCCAGTTGTTTTCAATCATTCTGACTCTTTGTGACCCCATTTAGGGTTTTCTTAGCAAAGATACTAGAGTGGTTTGCCATTTCCTTCTCCAAATCATTTTACAGATGAGGAAACTGAGACAAACAGTGTTAAATGACTTGCCCATGGTCACACAGCTAATAAGTTTCTGAGGCCAGATATGAACTCAGGAAAATGAGTCTTCTTGACTCTAGGTCTGGCACTCTAACCACTTTACCACTTAACTGCCCCTTTATTCGTTATTATAAATGCTAATAAACTCTTTTCATATGTTAAATTGTTTAATCTGAAGTCTTACTTCTTTTCCACAATCCTGCAGGATTTATAAACCCTCTCCTCCAGTAAGCCCCTCCATCTTACCTTAATGTGATTAGTTTCAATTTAGTCAGTTTCACCTCCCATAATCCTTCAGGAGTCTCAAAGTCTATGGAACCAAGCTCTTTGCCTCCCTGGCCTCTTCAAGTTTCCTGCCTATTCTAGGGTAATGAATGCATATTTTACACCTAACATATTTTCTCCCTTTCATTTCAGTCTTTCTTTTAGTTTCTGCAGATCTGCAGCTTTTGCTAAAGTCTCACTGGGTTACTCTCGCTTTTGCTAAGGACCAAGACAGATGTTCTTTGTCAACTGGACCTGGGATATATCAGTCATCCCAGCCTTAATGTGCAAAGGAGTGACAATAAAAGAAAGAGTAATATTAACAATAACAATAATGATAGTTCAATGTCTCTGTGCTCCCATCAATGTGGGTACTACCTCCGATGGTGTAATCAGTTGTGTCAAACTTAAAGAGAAACAGAGGCCACTAAATCCTATGTGAGAATCCCTGCACATTGACTTGGAAAACCACAAATTAACATTATCTATGTTTTCTCTATTTTTATTTATTTTGTTAAATGTTTTTCATTTTAATCTGGTTCTGCTGTCAGAGTGTTGCAGGCCACATAGCGTTCACTTGTTTAACACCTCTGGTGTAGATCAAAACTCAACCCAACCTTTTCAACTTGTTCCATTTCCTATAAATTTTCCATAGGGGTCCACTCCATGTGCTGGAAGACTTCTCAGTCATACAGCTAGAGCAGGAAGTGACCTCAAAGGTAATTTAGTCCAATTCCCTCATTTTACAGATGAGGAAACTAAGGCCCAGGAAATTTAAGCAACTTCTCAGGGGTCACCCAGGTAGTAAACATCAGAGATAGGATTTGAACCTAGGTCTAGGTGGCACAGCATGGGCAGCTAGATGGTGCAGTGAATAGACCACAGGGCCTGGAGTTAGGTTTTTTGTCGTTGTTGTTTGCTCTTTGAGGTAATAGGGGTTAAGTGACTTGCCCAGGATCACACAGCTAGTAAGTATCTGAGGCTAGATTTGAACTCAGGTCCTTCTGACTCCTGACTTCCTGAGTTCAAATGTGACCTCAGACACTTACTAGTATCACTGCCTTTTGTAACCCTTAGCTCTATTCTAGGATCAGCTCGAGTACTAAATATCCTAGAGAAACCTGATTCTTTACTCCCCCACCTCAAAGTTACGTGGGCTCTCTGAAATTACTTTGTGTGTGTTTTCATATTCACATCTGTTATTTCCTCTTTGATAGAATATAAGTTTTTTTAAAGGTGTCTTTGTATCCCCAATGCTTAGCACTAGTAGATGCTTAATAAATGTTGGTTGAGAATTGAATTGGAAATTAGAAACAATAATACTTGGAGCAGAAGAAACATAGTATTAATGGAAAGATAACTGATTCTGGAGTCAGATAAACTGGGTTTGCTACTTACTACTTGTCTGACCCGACTTCGTTCAAATTAGCTTCTCTACTTGAAAAATAAGAAGGCTAGACTAGAAACAAAAAGTCTACCTTGTTGGATGTAAATCCTATGATACTATGGCCATTTCTCAGTCTCTAGTCAATAGATTCAATCTAGTAAAACTGTAGGTACCTTTTTTCTGTTAAAATCCACTTCCCCCACTCTGGGTATGGAAATCCCTGGCCTTACTATACAATCATCCATGCAATTTGTTGTTGTTGTTCAATCATTTCAGTCATGATTGTGACCCCATTAAGGGTTTTGTTTTGTTTTGTTCTTTGGCAAAGATACTGGAGTGGTTTGCCATTTCCTTCTCCAAGTCATTTTATAGGTGAGGAAACTGAGACAGGGTCAAGTGATTTGCTCAGGGTCACACAGCTAGTAAGTGTCTGAGGCTTGATTTGAATTCCTGAATCCAGGCCTGGCATTCTTTCCATGTTAACCACCCAGCTGTCCAATATACTCAATTCACATCTATTAAGAGCCTACTATATTCCAGACACTCTGTTAGGCTCTGAGGATATAAACAAAGGTAAACACTGAACAAAACAAAACCTACAAACAATAACAACAAAAACAGTTCTGCTCTTAAAGAATTCCCAGTCTAACTTGCAAACTACTACGCCCAAACAAGATACAGGGTAAATTGGAAATAATCTCAGGAGGAAGGCATTAAGATTCAGGAGGACTGAGAAATACTTCTTGTAGAATGTGGGATTTCAGCTGAGTCTTTAAAGGAGGCCAGGAAATCCAGGAGGTGGATATAAGGAGGGAGAGATGTCCAGGCATGAGGGATAGATGGTAAAAACTCTTAAAAGTGTTGTGTTTGAGAAACAGCAAGGAAATTAGCTTCAGAAAAGTCAAGCTGCCCAGTGCCACTCAGCACATCAGAGCTTAGACGCAAACCCAAGTTCTCTGACTGAATATGCAGAGGCCTTTCACCACAGTCTCTCAGAGGTGATGATTTCTTGGGATTGGTACAGGAGATGGGCAGTGAGCCATTGTGGAGGCAAGGAAGCTAGTTCTAATGTAATTTGGATAGGCAATATACCTTGAACAGGTGGAAAAAATCTTTCTAATATCGAGTGAAGAGAGGCACTCGAGATTTCCACAGATTCCACTTAACCTGGAATTGCTTGGATTGCTGCAGACGGATGATTTGTGAACATGGTGAAGCATAGCTCTACTACATTCAGGTCTTGTGTGTCTTTCAGCATGGTGATGTAGTAGAGTTGCTATTGAACGCTGAACTTACTAAAGATGAAAGTCTTTGGTCTAAGAGTCTAAGGGAATCAGGATGTCAGAAGATAGTGAGCTCTCATTGGAAACATTAAAGCAGAAGTTGGATAACCATTTATTGGTAATCTTGCAATGCCTAGGGGTAGGAGGTTTGATAAATGGCCCACAGAATTCCTCCCAACTCTAAGGTTCTTTGACCATGAGAATAAGACACATTTTTATACCTTACTATAATCCAAGTAGAAAAGTACAGTCTCCTTACTAAAGACTGCAACACCCAAAAGACTGGGTCTCTTGGTGAGGCTGAGCCTTAGTATTGAAGAAGGCAGCGAAAAAAGCCTGTCCTTAAAACACCCCGCCTTACCCTAATCAAGGCAAAGTCGGCTGACTCCAGCTGTTTTCAGTTAGCCTGTAGGAATACAGACAGATCCAGGCTGTAGGAATGAACCGGCTCTTTCTGACTGTCCTGAAGCAGCCTCAGAAAATCCTCCCAAAGCACTGAGTACTGCTCTCAGTACCTGCAGTTTCTCTATAAGCCGGTCTCTTCCTTGGTCCCTAGGACTCAAGGGCGTGCAAGTGTCCTGCTTCAGCCTTCCATGGGCCTGGGACCCTCACGTCCTCGGAGCTGGAAGGCATGCATGCCTCAACTCGGCTTTTGACCAAAAAAGCCAACACAAAATTTGACCAGCAAGGGACAGCCTCTTCCTGAAATCCCCCGCTCACTTCAACACAGGAAGTAGAAATAACTAGAGACTGAAAAGGCAGGTCTCAAAGTCTCTTCCCCACTTCGCAGGTCTGCGCTCAGGCTGTTTGGGCCCCAGGACTGGGCGGGGGAAGTCGAGAAGGACGTGTCCCGCGGAGTGAAGCTTGGGCCCTCCCTGAAAAAAGGAGAAAGGGGGAGAGTGCGGGGTGTGGGAGAGGGGAGGAAGGGGGAGAACGATGCGGACCCCTTCTCGGGGCAAGCCGAGGGGCCGCTGCCTGCAGGAGGTGCTCGGAAAGCATTTCTGAAGTTTGAGCTACGCCCCCTCCCCCCTGTGACTTGACAGGGATGATGAAACCGGCGGGGGACCGAGGAGTCGGCGACCACCCCGGGTAAGCCTTTGCCAGCTCTGCCCAGGGAAGGAACGGGAGCGGGGCGGGGGGAGTGGTCTTCGCCCTCTGGCCATTTGCAACAAAGAGTTCTTTCACAGGTTCCCGAAGACAGCCTCCCCAAAGAGGTCGCGCCTCTTGTCGGATGGAGGGACGCCCGGTGCAGGACGTCACTGGGCATCTTGCAGGCACGGTTACTGGCCAAATGCCCTATGGCATGCCCTAGTTTCCCCAGGGGGTTTGCAACTGCCAATATAGCAATCTGGAGGCCTAGCGTGTGGGCAGTGGGCTGGTGGGGGAAGAACTGGGGCTTTGAAGGAAATGTTATCCCCAAACCTGCCGGAGGACTAATTTTCAAAGTGGTCGGAGTCACTGACTTGTGAATCCTTGGGTTTCAGGCTTTTCCCTCCCCTGCAAGGTGAGGATGGAGGAATGAAGGGAAATGGATGATTAGGGGCTCCCAGGTGACCCAGAGCGCTAGCGCTCCCCGGGAGTTCTAGGGACCACTTCACAGTCCTCCTGGAAACACGCCTAAGTTGAAAAGATCAGCGTGGAACCTGCCCATTTTTCCTATAGCAAACAGTCTGGGGAAGGCAATGCAGGCTTTGGCTAGACTTTGACACCGGTTCCCCAACTGGAAATGCCCCCAGAGGCGCAGCGCCGGGTGTCTGTTAACTGTTAGACTTCGGAGCAGGGAAGGAGGGGAATGAATAGACTCGGGCAGTCTCAGTGCCTACGTGGGCTGAGCCGCGCAGCCCCGGAGGCCCCTGAGCCTCCACCTTCAAAGTCTGCCCACTGAAAGTTTCTCCTGGCCCGGCTCTGGGGGCTCCCGAGTGGGGAGGAGGACTCAGCCTCCCCGGAGTGCTGTAGTCAGAGCAAAGCTAACTTTGGAAGTTTGTTGTCCTCTCTGCGCTCAGGAAGGAAAGAAGAAGGGAGCCCGAGTTTTTAGGAGCCGAAAGGGACATTTTTAAAGATCGTCTATTCTAACTCCTTCATAATGTGTTCTTTAAAGTAAATAAATTTTTTATTCAGATACCAAAAATCTACTTTCTCCCACCTACCATCATGAGGGGGAAAAAAAGGAAAACCTTGTAACAAATATGCATAGTCAAGCAAAATAAATTCTCGTCCAAAAAACGTATATCATTTTCTGCACCTTGAATCCACCTCTTTATCAGGAAATTAAACCCCTTCTTTGTGCAGAAGAGGAAATTGAGGCCCAGAGGGAGGAAGTGACCTGCCCAAAGTCACACAGTCACATTAATGGAAGAACTCAGCTTCAGAATGTCTCACCATTTGTGCTTTCTTCCTCATCTCCAGTTGACATACTATAAACTTGAATCCAAAGTAGGTAGCGGAATTTAGAGTCTGAAGACCCGGGTTCGAATCCCAGCTCTGCTACTTAATTCCCTTTGTGATCTTAGACAACTCACTAAAGTTCTCTAAACTGTAGTATCTCACCTATAAAATGGTGGGGTTGGACTAGCTAATTTCCAAGGCCTTTCCATTTCTAATCCATCCTATGATATTAACAAAGTTTATTAATCCCTAAAGAGAAACCAGATATTCAGGTCTCTCCTGCCCTCTAACTGCCCCCCCCCCCAAAAAACCCCCACCCTTTCGTGCATCTCAGTTTATTTTATCTGGCAAACTAGCTTCAGGGGCTACCCTCCCGCTGCATCGTCCCCTCCCCCACCCCCATACCTCACATACCAGGCTGGAAACTTCTCTCCCCGCCAGGGAAACTGAAAGACTTATCTCTAGTTTTAGGAGGAGGACCTGGGAGTGAAAAGATTCTTGGATCCTTTGCCCAGGGGAGGGTTAGGGAGGGTGCCATCTGTCCTTCGGGCCTAAGTGGTTAATTGCTGACAGGCTGACATCACCTATGTTGAGAGTAACCGGTGTCTGAGTGGAGTTTGCCCTGCCTACTGCTCCCCCAGCCTGCTTGGCCCCAGGGAGGATGACTGCAGGCAGGAGGTATGCCAAGCCTCAGGATTGTGACTGGGCCAAGTGCAGAGGAAACATTGAGAGTGCTGGCCAAAAGGACTGCACTTTTAAAAATCATTCTACTTACTGTATTAAAGGGCCCTTTGTTGGACTGGAGTATCCATTTGCAGCCCTTGAAGAAAAGAATAAAGTTCTTGGCCTGGAATATGCCAAACTAGTTCTGGTAAGCCAGGCTTTCCAGAATGGTAGGATTAACTTGAAACTCCCTCAACTACTGTACATTATTCGGCCTGGCTTCTCACCCCTGCACTAACAATTGTCTTTTTCCTCTTTTCTCGAAGCTGACAGTCTGGTCAGTGTGAGGTGGAACCTCAGAGTCATTTTCATTTGTTCTTCACTTATTATTAGCAATTGGTAGCACTTTTTCATCTGGTTATTGATAGCTTACCTTTCTTATTTTGAGAACTGCATGGTTATATCCTTTGACCACTTATTAGATAGATAAGTGAGCTTGATCTTTATTTATATTAATTTGTATTAATTCCTGATATATGGTGAAAATCAGGCTTTTATCAGAGAAGTTTGCTTCCCCGGTTACCTGGTTCCCTTTCATTTTAATTTCATTGATTTTTGCTTGTGCAAAAAGCTTTTCAGTTTTATGTAATACTAATTGCCTATTTTTTCCTCCTGTAATCCTTTCTGTCCCTTGTTTGGTCAAGAGCTCTTCTCTCATCCATAGTTTTGAAAGGTATCTCCTTTGTTCTTTTATTTTGTGATATGACTTTTTATATATTTAGGTCATGTATCCATTTGGAATTTACTGTGGTACATGGTATGAAATGTTGGTCTAAGACTTAAGTTGAATAATGGTTGATCTGTATTGGTAAACAGTTTCCTCACTTAGAATTCCCTATGCCAATGAAATTAAAAGTTCAGACAAAAATAAATTTTGTGCATGTGTGTGTTTGTGTTATGTTTTGAGAGAGAGTGAGAAGAACTATTATAATCAACTAGGCCAACTCCCTTACTTTACAGATGAGGAAATTGAGGCACAGGATAAATGACTTGCCCAATACCCTATAACTAGGAAGTAGTAAAGTCAGAATATGAAAGCAGGTTTCCTTACTCTAAATCCAGTACTCTTTCCACTATACCATAAAGGTTCAGATTTCTGCTGAATAATAGGAAAATCTTCCTAACAATTGAAATTGTCCTAAATTGAAATATGGTACCCCAAAAGATAGTGAGTTCACATGAAGGCTGGATAACCACTTTTCTGGAATGTTGTAGAGGGATTCCTGTATAGAAATGAAGGAGATGGCCTCTGACATCCCTTCCAACTTGGAGATTCTGTGATTCTATCACCACACTGCAAGGTTTAGGGCTGTGGAATTTGAGTATGCTTGACTCCAGTTCCACCACCATATTTTGCCTGTGTCTCACCATGTGAGCTGGTCAGTTTTACTGAATTTGACACAGTGGAGCTGATGGGGGATGGGATTCACACTGGCCCCCTAGAAGGAAAAGCCCCTGAACTATCCCACAAATTTCAGGAACCCAGCCCTTGAACCCAGATCACTGGCTTTCACTTAAGGCACCCAGCCCATCCCAGTCAATAATCCTTTTAACTGCCCTTTCTTTGTGGCCCTCATTGTCTTCACCTGGCTCACCCCAGCCTGCTTGCCACTCCTTAATCCCATCCAAATCTTCCCACAGTCTTTCTGTCTAAAAGTATCAATTTTATTCTCATCAAATTCGAAGATTCCTTAAGAGTCTGGCCGGCTTGTATTGGTGTCACACAGATAAACTAGGAATCTCGCCCACTCCAACCAGTGTCATAATAAACTTGCTACTTGGATAAAAGAAGGCCTGAGTAGTTGAATTCTTTTGAAGCAGACCTTGTAGCCTTGCATTTGGGGTTCCCAACACCCCTAGACTGCAACAGAGCAGCTTGTTGTGGTAGAAAGAGTAGTGGTCTGGGAATTAGGAGACTTGAGTGCTTGTCTCACATCTGTCACTCACTGTGTGACCTTGGGTAAGTCACTTCTCTGGGTTTTAGTTTCCTCATTCATAAGAGAGAATGGGGTTGGACTCAGAGAACTGGGAAGTCACCTTCCAGCTCTGTCACTATAAGATATTTATAATTCAGTATGGAAGATGAAGGGGTGGATGCAGTTTCAGAATGTGTATGAGTAGAAAGTATCTTAAATTGGAATTGACTGTGGGGCAGTGTCCCACCCAAACTATTTGACCACCCATATACTGTGATTAGAGGAATACATAAAGACAAATCTACCATAAAATGCTGTCCTGAAATATCAGGAATTCCTACTCTTGGGAGTTGTTTCTTTTGGAAGGAGGTACAGTCTCGTTAAGGACTACATTGAGATGTTAATATTGTTGCCTACCAGAAATGATTTATTAATATACTGACTGCTATTAGCACCTTAACAAATTAGCTTACCTTTTTGGTTCTTAGAATAATAGAGTTGAAAGGGACTTTCATGGTTCTCTAGTTGCAATTCCTACCCAAATCATGAATCCTTTCACTACCTCCAATAAGAGGTCATTCAGTCTCTGCTTGTATACCTCCAACCATGGAGGTCACTCACTAATTCCTGAGGCAATCCTTTCAATTTTGGAGCTTCTGATTCTTAAGACTTTCCTTATATGGAGATCAGATCTGCTTTCCTATGGTTCTGTCCTCTGTACTCTTACAGTTCCTCATATAAGAAGGTTTTAAGTCTTCTTTCCATCCTGGTCTCCTTCCTTTGGATATTCTAGCTTGAATATCTCTTTTTAAACTGAAGTACTCAGAACTGAGCACAGTGCCCCAGATGTGATTTGACTGGGGCAGAGTGCAAGGGAAACTATCACCCTTATTCTGAATATTATGACTATTCATGCTATATAGTAGAGCAGGACCTTTAAAGAATAGGACACAGACCAAGTAAATTTTGAAGGGGTAGGGTAGGGAACTGATGAGGACAGGACTGGGTAGTGTACTAGACACATTAAAGTAAGCTATTGGTGGAGAAAGAACGGAAAGGATAGAG